CCTTACTCGAAGTCTGCTTAGTCATCGAGCATATTTCGGGAACTGACCGTTTAGTTATTTCTAGAATCCTATCTGCAGTAATAGCTAAGTCCTCTATTACAGTACCCTGAAGTGTCACAAGTACGGTCTGTACAGACTGTGGCAGCTTGGTTAAGAAGAGTTCTCTAAACAGTCCTTCGTCGAACTGACTTTGGCCAACGACTTCTTTCATTCTTGTCAGCATGCTCACGGCTGACTGATCTCCTAACTCGATGTTACGAAATAATTCGTCCAGACGTTGTCGGTCCGTGAGAACGTTTCTCCTGAGGAGGGATGCTTTGAGCAACTCGTACGAGTTACTTACCTCGGGACTGAACATCTGTGATGTTACGTACTTGCTGAATTCCCGCGGTAGGGCGTGAATAACTGCAAGTAACTGTGAACGTTGATCGGTTATCCCATGCTCACAAAAATCTGCTTCAGCTAGCAGAAACCACGTTTCAGCATTATCTGGCCAGTATGGTACGAGCTGAATGGTTTTAGGAGTTGAGCGGATACGAATGACCTTGGGACTAAGATCACTCATGACGAAAATTATGTCGAATAATATATGGTACAAGAACAAATACAAAATGGAACGAACTCACCGGGGTTATCTGCGGATTTATCGTGGATGAAGTTCGCGGTTGGGCTCACCAGTTTAGAGGTTGACGGAATTCTCTTACACAGCCTGTAAATTATTCTCGCGTACCAACAACAAAGCAAAAGCCAATATTTGATCGTCCAAACTAAGTGATATATTTCGGGACCAAAACAAGCCGTCAGACGAACGCTTAGCTAGCTAGTGATCGTGCACGTGACACGACGGGGTACCAAATGGCGGGGATGCTTGACCGGAAGCCTTCAGCTAAACAAGTCGACTTAAACAGTGGTGGTCAGCATCCGATGGTGAGTGATTGCTGTGGTCAATAATTTTGGGGAATTATTTACTGCTACACTATTATTGTTCCCCTGGGTTCCGAGGGGGACTAACGACTTCAGCAGCTCATCTTCACTTTGTCTTATTTTGTGATGTCCTCTCTTTATGGCCCATGATGTCTCGCCCCCTCCTCACATGATCTCCTGAATATCACACTCGGACGCCCAACACGTCGTTTCCCATTCTCCTCCATTCAAGAGATGGCATGGCACGTGATATCACCCAATGGTCTCCCTAGAGTGTGTCCGATCCATCTCTGTTATCTTCGGCATATTTTTTTAAACAGTAGATCATTGGTAGGTTCAATTCCCAGAGTTCATTGTGTTGCTAGTCCTTTTCGACCATCTGAACTTCAGTATGGCGCGAAGGTAGTTGTTGATAGAAGTCTGCAGTGATCGGTTGGAACTATTTCTCATAGCACACGAAGTTTCTGATCCATATTGAAGAACTGACTCACTCTCAACATTGGTGTTGATAATCCGAATCTTTGTTCTTAGTGCTGCGGAGTGCAGAAGATTCTGAAAATGTTTTCAGCAAATGACAAAATGTCTATCTTGATTTTTCCGATCCCAGCTGGTTTTGACATCCTTATCAGTGTTGCCTGCCTGTAGTTGAAATGATACTTCGTAGATAAGTGAAGGAAGCGACTTCTTTCAAATTGCTCCTGTTGACAGTAACTGGTACTGTTTGCTTGGTTATTTTCATCGTCTGCATAATTTGGGCTACCGATATCACATGCTGAAAATTCCATAATTGTACCAAAAATACAGTATGGAATCAAGCTGTAATCAAAAATAAAATAAAAAAAAGTCTCTGTCTTCCCTATATTCATAAGTAAAAACACAGTTTCTTTTTATTCAGCGAAGAAATTTCTCCATTCAACGACTTCATTTTCAAGCTGTACAGTCGTATTTATATTACATAAAAAGGTTATTAAGTGGCACTAAATAATTGCTCAGTCAATGCACGTATATGTGATAAAAGTTATAAGGGGTAGAGTTGGAGTGGATAAATTACCAAAATATGAAAGATTGTTCTTTAACAAAAATGTCAAGTGTTGTCTAAAAAAATTATGAAAATTAGGAGTACGATTACGATAAGAATGAAGATGTGAAGTGAATTGGAAAGAATTTAAGTGGTAAAATAAAATAAAATGAAAACTAGAAAGAACATTACTATTGTGGTGAGAGCAGGCTGCTAGCCGATTGGTTGGCACTAATCTACGTTAAGGTCTAGGTCACTAATATGGGCCGTGAGAAAATATGAACAAGCCTGAGTCAACAACCAATCACAGCAAAGTTAACGTGGCAGAATATGATTCGCAGAGAGAACTCTATTTGTCAAGGAATCCCGAAACAACCAATCAGAAGCCGGCGTTTGTCTACCTAAACAACCAATCAGATGACTGCGCTTGTCTATAATAATGTAGTTGAAAGATGTATAAATACGTGTTGATTTTCATAATAAAACGATCTGTTGCCTGGCCCTTGTCTTCTGTTGTTACACTATGACCAAGGTAATGAAAGGGGTTCGACAAAACGTTTTTGAACACATAATTTAGGTTTCTGTTCCTGTATAGCTAAAGCTTCGGCTAGTTATGCATAAGTGAAGAAAACGTAAACTTTTGAATCGATTCGATTTTGCCATGTAGATAAAACCTTGAAGGATGAATCACGTGGGGCTGAATGACCAGATTGTAACAGGTGAGCACAGATAGACGACTTTGCACTTCTACGTTCGCCTTTCATTAACCAAAACGGGATAGTGTTCAGCTAAATGTTTTCGGAGAGTACGCTTACAACGCCTACAAGAGAAATTTCTTCGCTGAACAAAAAAACACTGTGTTTTTACTTATGAATAAATGGGTATTTTTCCCTATATTCACTTGAAGTCCTGTTTTTTTTTTTGTCTCCTTCTTCTGTCAGTTTCTTGGTTTCTTTAGATATCGCGTCGATTCTGATTCTCCCATACAACTCTTTCATAATCCATTCAAATTGCTGGATACTTATAATCGTATCAAACCTATTTTTTGACTTTATATTTCACACGTAGTGATGTCATTACTGTCTTGTAGCTTAAATTTGAGCTTTAACTTGTCGAGAAAATGTGTTTGTTTTTCCTTTCCATTCCCAGTTGTTCAATGGCCTTCAAGCTAGAGCTTTGAAGTTTCGGTAGCACTGGTGTTTTTATTTTGACGGAATGCGGGGTTGCTAGCCTCCTCATGCCCAACCTTCCTCCTTTACCAGCCTTATTTACTGGCTTAGCAAAGTAAAAGAGTGCGTCGGTGACCGGGGATCGAACCCCGAACCATGTGTGCCGTTGTTGGCGAGCATTCTACCGCTATGTACCACTGACGCACAGATAAATACACAAACAATGTACATGGTCCGGGGTTCGAGCCCACGCCGACGTTCACCTGATATCTATGGTCGGGCTGCGAAATTCGGGCTACCGATATTCACGCTGAGAATTTCATACTTGTACCAAAAATATGGTGTGGAATCAAGCTGTATTAAAAAAAAAACCGTTTTCATTTTTATAAGGTTAAGTCAATGAAATAAATTCAATTCTTTTTAAGATAGTTTGCGTTATAAACTGAAATGAATGAGAGAATAAATAAAAATTCAAAAAGTACTGGAGAGTTTTACTATCCTAGTTCACCACACTTGAGTGATACTCACACTTGTTTTTTCTGATGAACGTAAAACTCAGATTTCTATTTAACAATAAGTCGCTAGCCAACAGCTTATTATCCCCAATCTCTGTTGACTCAATGAATTAGAAATCAGATCAAGTGAGATAGTTAGAAGCAGTTGGTAGAAAGCCTTGGATCTGGATTTCATACTTGTTTTTACTCGCCGTCAGCTAGGTGCGTCTGCAATATTAAAGGAACTTTTATCCCATTAATATGTGTGTAAAACTTGGGGACTGTTGTAGTAAGTAATTCCATATTAGTTTGTTTATTAGATGTATCACACACAGTCAGTGAAACAGTATTATTATTTACTGGATGACAAAGTCTCGAACAAAATTTATTGCGGTTCATAATCATATCATCAATTAGTAATCACACGACTTTGAAACTTGAGTTTCATAGTTTTCTTTGTCTTCTCCTATTTGTCGTCGTGGGGGTAATAGAATTTTCCAGATATCTGGGACAGGTGACGAATCATTCCTATTACACGTATTTGCAGTTGATTCGATAAACAAAGCTTCTGTTATCAATCTCTCCCTCTACCCTGCTACATTAGATTTTATAACTGTCATCCTATCCCATCCTATTGTATGGTTGTGTGTAGTTGAATGTAGTGAGTGCTACAGTTGAACTATTCTCTAGATTACCTATCTTATTCGAGTCAACCAATCTAGATTTTGCTAGGTTTTTCTGTTCAGCTAGTCTGACTGCCCCTGTTCTATTAGTTTGACCTTTGTATTTGACCTGACAATCATTGCAGGCAGGGTATTAGATAAACTAATTTGTTTTGTTTTAAAGGCTCCACAGGATTGATCTTTCAACCGACAAAGCTTGTTTCCAATTGCGTTTGTGGGTGTGAATGCCAGCCATTTTTTACTCCTACCTTGTTAAGAATTCTCCGGCGTAAGGTTTCCGAGGTTCCTTCCTTGTATGGAATTACTACTGATGATTTAGATCAATAAAAGGAGATAAAGAAGGCTATAAAACTCAAGTTTCAAAGTCTTGTGATTACTAATTGATGATATGATTATGAACCGCAATAAATTTTGTTCGAGACTTTGTCATCCAGTAAATAATGCCGTTTCACTGACTGTGTGTGATGCATCAAATAAACAAACTAATATGGAACTTTTATTCCTTTTGTGTGTTTCGAACCCGGATCATCCAATGCTGCAGTCAGGGACGCAACCTCGTAACAGAACTTACTATGCACTAAACGAAGGATTAGACGTACGACTTCTGGTACTGCTACAACTTTATTTCCCTTCAAAATCAATTATTTTGATTTTTCTGCAAAATAATTTCTCTTCATCTCCTGTAAATTTTTATACAACATTTTTCCTACAGACAAAAATCTACCTCCTCCTCGGCATCATCGCCTAATCATTCAACATCAGCAGATACTGAAGATCAGACAAAGTTGACTGGGAATTCATCACAGACTACATTCTATGAATTGACTAAAAGATATTCCAATGGCAGTATCAATAATACACCAGTTACGCCAAATAACAGTAACAATAATAATAATAATAGTAGTAATCACTTTATGACCAGTCGAAGCAGTTCAAAATCGAAAAATCTCATCTCAATTGATCCACCAAAACTGTTTCAATCATCTACATTTTTAAGTGATAATAATAAAATAAAGGTGAAAGATTATTTGGTGCTTTTTTAAAAATCTTTTTTCTTTTGGTCTTTATGTAAATTAAGTTTAAATGTGTGTGTGTCGTGATTATTTTTGGTGAGATAATTCAATTTTCTCATATAATTCGTATTATAAACGAATACTGTTGGTTGAAAATAAGTGCTAAAGAGCAAAAAACATTGAAAAACTGATTTTGTCCCAGTTTAGAGCTCTTCAGTGGTGCACATATTAGTGTTACTATTCGTAACCGAGACAAAGATAATCCGATTGCTAGCTAAACTAATGTATGTCCCACGAATTTCGCCATATATATCGTTGATACCTTGGGGATATTACTCGACGTTTTCAAGTTTAAATGTTCAAACTGACAGGCAGCGTTTATAGCTAATGATTTGAATACCCTAGTAGAAGTTGAAGTATCCGGCTATCGACCAAAGGGTGGGCGTACTGCTCAGCAGTCCCCTCCGTCCTCCTTTATGGCTGTGAGCGAGACCTGGCCATTGAAAGTGGAAGACATGAAAAGCCCAGCTAGCTGTCTTTGATCATAGGTGCCTGTGTTCCATCTCCTGTGTGAATTGGTATAATGACTTGTGCAATATTGGGGTTAGGCTTCGGTCGGGTGCTAGGTAAAGAGGGGAAATCAATCGCATAGGCTGTGAAGCTACATCGACTGAGATGGTTAGGACATGTGTTACGTATACGTTCCTAGTCATCGCCTTCTTCGACAGGCAATGTTAGGTGACATAGGATTGATCAGGCTGGAAAAGAGCTAGCGGCGGTCAAACCAAAACATGGCACCAGTCAATGAAATCTACAACAGTTAGTTTAAGCCAGCCACGTAGGAAGGTGTAGACTGCTGTCTGGTTGAGGTCCTCGAGACGGTAAAAACTATAGGCTGGAGACAATTGGTAATATGGCTGGCTCAAAATTGTTGTTCTCAATGGCACAGATGCATCCACTCCTTGTAACTTCTAAAACCCAATAAAACTATACTGTTCTTTGATATTACTATTCTTTTTGCCTCGCATCTCTGTCTACTGTCTTTATTTTGCATTTCTTCTAATTTCTTCTCTTGCTTTGTGCACTACATGGTGAGAGTGTGGCGACTCGAACTGCTGCACATCGGTGCAAAGTTCTATGTCTAAAACAGACAGATTCTGATTGATTATTTTTTTATTTTACTCCTTTCTGTCCCAACTGGACCATAGGGCTTCAAGCTCTAGCTTCGAAGTTTCCAGTAGCAGTGGTATTCTTTTTAATAAGGATTGAGGTTCTTAGTCTCACATCCTATCTTCCATCTTTCCCCGGCTTACTACCAGGTTAACGAGGTGTTTTGCAATGTGTCGACTAGATGTCGAATTCCGGATCACAGGCGTAGGTGACGAGCATTCTACCGCTGCACCATGGACATCCAATCGAATTTGTTTTCTTTTACATCCTACTCGATATCTGCCTGCCTGTTAATTTCCATTACATTTCAATACTAGACTTTCAAGTATTGCGTATCGTGTTTTGAATTCTCCTGTCCTACGACCTTGCAATTTTGCATCTCAATAACATATCGGGGAAAAAAGATGTTAAGAATAACTCACATTTATTAGAACACAGTTAGAGAGAGGTGTGAAACACGGAATCAAACTGTTACCAATTAATTCTTAACCTGTCTTAAATTTAAGTAGGCAACAGATACAGTAGTTGTTTAAGTTGTTCAGTGTGTGAGAGGCTGATTTACACCACTGCGTAAATTGAACTGAATCGAATCATCGTCATAGAACTTTGCACAAAAGTGCAGTAGTTTAAGTTGTCACACTTTATAAAAGCATAAATAAAGGTAAGGGGGAAGGCAAATGTACCAAAGTCGTAGTAAGTGGAAATGTGAAAAAGAAAGAATAGTGCGGAATTAATGTGATCTCCAAGATCACAAGTACGGTGTATACCCGAGGTATTCAAAACTATTTCAGGCTCATATCAGTGATCCCAGGTATCTTCGAGGACCCCAGTCAGATAGTTTACACCTTTCTATAAGACGTAATTTTTTGTAAATCAAGAATAGTGGAAAAAACCATTTTGAAACCCAAGAATCTTTGCAAAGTCACTGTATATTATTTTCCGGCTTCTTTAGCAGTGATTGTTTACGACAACCCGGGAAACAGAATTTTAAGCTAATCATCTTAATACCAGTTCACTTTTCATTAGTGACCATCTGTGAAATACTCTGAGTGGAGTTGTAACGGAGGGTCGCAATACTTCAAGGTGAAAGTTATGTTGTGCCGTGAACAAGACGAAGCTGTCATAGTTTTGCAGAATTCTGATTGACTCAGCTGATAAGTAACAGTCTGATCGATTCTTAACCTGATGGCTTTCTACTTCCTCAATTTCTAATTAAAAGTTATATGCACAACTGGTGACCGTCATTGCTTTCCTTTTTTTTTGGTTTTTAATAACTCTAGTTATGAAATTTCCCTTCAAAAGTAATTTTGTCATTCTATCATTTTTGTTATAATGTTTTGATTTGATATGAAAATTTTGCTGTAGGAAATAAGTTTTGCCAACTTCACAAACGACAGTTTTTTTAAGCAAAAATGTAAAGTTTTCCATGCAAAATGCCTCATTTCCAATGATAATGGAAAAGTATGTCAAAATGACAAAATTTAGAAAGTTGTAATTCCATTTTGTCAAAATATCAACGATAAGTTAGTTATAAGCTCTTTAGGGATTGTAATTAATTTCAGTGTGAATATTACCACAGACCTACATTGGTCAGAGTAGCATTGTAAGAAAATCACTTGACAGGCATTTTTTCCTACCCTTGAATTATTTAGTAATGTGTACCCATCCATAACCTCTTAAAATACTGAACTCATTGCCTGCTTTCTGCCAACCAAGGCAGCCCACCACTATTCAACCAGTGGTTTTGAACCCTGACTGACAGAATCAGCTTAAAACCTGAGGGCTGTGGGTTCCAGCTTTGGTAACGGCTCATCGTTAGGTACTGCTGACACATCTCTTAGAAACCAAGATGTAAGAACTGTCCACTGCTGTTTTGTCGTCAGTGATTCTGCAACTGATGTCAGGCTGTGACGAAGTTGACACCAGAAGGGATCAGATGGGCTTATCAGTTCTCATGATGAATACAGGACAGACTTATAACGATACTGCTAATTATTTTCACATTCAACGTTTTATCACATTAATCTTCTTAATTATGACAATTTTAATATATCTATACACCATGTGGTTTCTATGACTGGATTGTACTTACTCATTATTTAAAAAATTTAGCTTTCAATCAGTTTGTCCTAAATTTGAATCTTGATCCGTTTACTTCAATCTGGGTGTAACATGGGGAGTATCTTCAGCCCAAAGATAATAAATGTGACATACAGTTTAGTATATGAAAAATCTCTTTCAAACAAGTGGTTTCTTATGAAAACAGTAAGTTACTAAGGAGAAATCTTGTCAACTGTCACTGAAATTGATGACAACAACGTGTAAATTAGGCTCACCAACGAGTTACGGCCACGAGTCCCCTCTCCATCTATTTCATCCTCACCGATATGGTAGTATCATCGACTCTCGCACGATAAGTGTGGCTTTTAGCTTGTCACATGGAATATCTGTTCTGGATAACTAAATTCGAATAAACAAAACTAAGTTATTACTAAAAAGTTATATCATTTATTTGTTATTTATGCATGAATTATCCTTATTTATGTGTTCTTGTCTATACTACTTAATATGACTTAGTAGTTTGTATATATCTATCTAATTTTACTGTTTCCACAGAATGGTTATTCACATTTCCCACATTTCAATTTCCTGCGTCAATCATCCCGCTAGGCGAAGAAACACTGGACTGAATTGGACGACTGCGTATTTTCTCTCATTTGCAACAATCTCTGACATTCTTTATGCCAATGTGATTTACACACTACTTATTAGTAGTAATACGATATTTTCAGCTATTATTTATTTTATTATAATATTATAATGATTATTTATGAATATTTTACTGTCAAATTAATTTTTGCTTTTTGAAAATTGATAAACTACGATTACTTGTATGATTTTTCATTTAGGCTATTGTCTATCTTGCTGATTTTGTTTTTTGAATAACCAACATTAGAATACACTTATCTCTCTCTCTCTCTTTAATGATTATGGTCATGACGTGTACTTCACATTTTGTTGTGTACGATATACAAATAAAATGCATAGTATAATTATACTGCTATAACTCCCTTAGGTTCCGAATAGAACATACGGCTTCAACTGTACAGCTGCATTACCTTCGGGTTTTCTATAGTTGTCTTCTTAGCTAGCTGCACGGTTGTCTATACGCTTCACACGATCTCCATCATGTCAACTACGGCTGCGCATCCAACTCGTCATTTTTCTCTGCCTCGTTTCACTCCAGAGTTGGTCTGCAGCGCGATGTCACTCAACCTTCTGTTCATTGTCCGTTCGATCCATTTCCATTGTCTTCGGTTTATTTGTTGGATTATGGCTCCTTTGTTGATTTTATTGTCAGAGTTCCATGCTGCTAATCGTTCCTAGCCGCCTATGCAATCCTCAGTATGCAGTGAATTCAGTTGTCAATATGAAGTATGAAGCCTGTTCTAAATACCTGCTTATTAAATTTATATAAATCACTTAGAGAAATAAGCAAGGTGTGATAAATATACAAGAAGAGAGTGTTAATAGGGATTGTCGAAAAGAATAAGACAATTAGATTTTTCAAGTATTGGTTTTGTAGGGATTTTGTTTGATTGCATGGAGGAATTCATCATAAGCTGGTATCAGTTAGAGAACCACTGGAAAACCTGGGAGTACTGGACATATGTTTCATCCTAGTTTGGGACTCTTCAGCATTACGCACCCACTGGGGTTCGAACCCAGAACCAAGGACCATTGGATCGGGTCCCAGTGGCTCAATGGTCTACGAGCTTGCCTTGTAACCAGAAGGTCCTGTGTTCGAACCCCAGTGGGTGCGTACTGCCGAAGAGTCCCGAACTAGGATGAAACAGCTGTCCAGTATTCCAAGGTTTTCCAGTGGTTCTCCAACTGATGTCAGCTGATGAAAAAGTCATCTGTGCAATTAAATTTTTGTCTCAATAAGGCAGAAATAAAGATCATCAACGACTGAATTATTTACCTGTGTTGGTTATGCAGACAATTATGTTTTCAAAGTACACATACATGGTTGCTGTGTTGTAGTGTAATTGTATATCTGTATGCTTTCTTCAAACTATCGTTAATAAATACATCTTTGAACAGTCGTAAGTATTATATTCTTAATTTACTATAGTTTGGACGGTATTAAGAACAGTTCAGCCACCAGAATAGATGGGTCAGGCTAAAGAATCAGTAGGTAGTAGTGTTGCCAAAGCGCAGGTCTAGCAGGACAGATAAACGAATCCGTCTTCACCTTCTGAATGAGGTTCGGGCAACCAGATAGCATAACTGGCCATCACACATTACGTGTTGCTACTCGCGAATTGCACAGAAATACAAGTTGTTCTTATTGAGTGGCTTAGTTAACCATCTTTTGTGAAGTAGCAACCAGTGGGGTGGGGTGACATCTCACTTGAAGAACACTCGACTCAGAATTAAGTCTTAATAACACAGTGAACTGTAATAGACTGAAGTCTGAACTGCTCTAGGAAAGAAAGTTTCAACTGAGCTTTATCTTTTGCTACAAGTCGGCTAATTGCCTTTAGCAAAACGATAGACAAAAAATCAAACATACATCATGACTCAGAGGAATAACAATCTAGTTACTGCAAAGTATTTCTGTACCGACTGTTTCCTGAATATATTCCCACCCATTCGGAACAGAGAACTAGTAATGGTAAGACACTCCTCGCTTTAACCTCTCTAGTCGGTATACTTGTGGAGACTCAAAAATAAACTTATCCAATTTTTACTACTATGTAAGAAATGAACATATTGTACATTACTTTGTTTTAACCATAAACTCTGTACTTTGAACTTTACCTCGGGTTTTGAATAAATATATAGTTCTGCCTCCGACCCTCCGTCTTCTCCACCATCCCAACTGCCATCGATCAATTCTAACCACCTGCTTTCTATCTCAAATTTTCGCAGGAACACCGTAGTTTCTTCCTACTTACTTTGGTCGACCTCCGGCAACGTCAGCAGTGGAGAATTGGTATTGGAGCAGTCTTCCCGCAGCACCTCTGGAGTCTATTACGTTTATTGTGGATTTTGAACCTTGTAAATACCCAACTAACGAAACTTTAATATATTCTTCCCGTAACTAAACTGATTTGGTATTTTATTTTCTATTTGAATTTTGGATACTACTCTAACAGAGTAAAAGGTCCACCACATACTATACACAGAACAAGGATGCTAGAGTTAGACTTTTTATTCGCTTCATGTGGCCTGAGGACAATTCTAAGCTTTTCTGGAAGGCTAAGTAGACAAAATATCTTCTTAACATTGAATGGTTCTGATTAACTAACCATATGTGGTGTTCCAGCGTCTGGTTGAATGTGAGAGCCTTCGGGAACTAATTCTATGAGTGCATTCTTGGAAACTTCACGCTATCAAATCTCTGCCTACCATGTTTAAGGTAACTTTTAGTATGAGTTGAAATGTTGCAAAGCATCCGACAGCCACTTTACATCTTGTCTATCTCTCATGATTCATATACACTTATATGTGACTCAATGAACTATTGCAGTGTATCAGTTTTTAGAAAAGCTGTTGAACCAGACACGTTGCCTAGTACATTTGAAAGGCTGATTATCTAGTGAGATGCCTCCATTTCTATACAACTGCATCTATAGGTTGTGATGAGAGCAGGCTGCTAGACAATTGCAGACATTAATCTACGTCAATGTCTAGGTCACTAATATTAGCCGTGAGAAAATATGAACAAGGCTGATTCAACAACCAATCACAGCAGACTTAAACGCGGGCAAATATGATTCGCAGATGGATGGCCTCACTTTCCGAGAAACCCGAAACAACCAATCAGAAGACTGTGTTTGTCTACTTGAATAAGCTATAATAATGTACAGGAAATATATATAAATACGTGCTGATTTCCGTAATGAAACGATCTGTTGCTGGCCCTTGTCTTCTGTTGTTACAGTTAGTGTCGCTGCCTCCAAAAAATGAAGATCCCATGGCCAACTGCATTTGGAGAAGGAGACATACGGAGCTTCTTACGTGACTTCGACACTGTTGCTGAGCTGGTAGGTGTCAAGGAGCAGGCGGTTAAGGCAGCTGTCCTGGAGACGCTGTTGAGAGGCCGAGCGGAGGCGGCATATGACAGCGTAGACAGGTCAAATGGCACAGCGTCTTGGAAGAAATTGGTTGAACGATTGGTGTCGGAGTTTGACAGCACGACAGACAGACAGCTAGCAATGCAGCGGTTCCGTTTAACGAAGCTGGGACCTGATGGAGACCCGTTGGTGTTGGCGGTGAAACTGACGAATCTACTTCAACGTGTGCTTCCCACTTTGGATGAAGAATCAGAAGCGCAGTTACTGTCTTCCCAATTCATCGTGAGTGTCCCAGACCACATTTCTCAGCGATTACAGCTGGTGAACGCAACGCAGCCGATGGATATTAGTGAGCTGGCGAAGGTGACCAGACAGCTGCTGAGCACAACTGTAGCCGCTATACGGCAACAAAAACCAAACGAATACGATCAGAAAATTGAAGCGTTGCAGCGAGAAGTGGTGGTCTTAAAGTTGGGTGATAGAAAAGACATGTTTTGAATGCGGTAAGTTGGGACACTGGAGAAGATACTGCCCAGAAAGGCGAAAAAGAAAACGTTTCAGACGGTATAATACTTGTCCCTTCTCTCGTATGAAACTAGATTTAGTGGGGCCTATTGAGAAAGGGGCTGTGTATTCGAAGTTGCGAGTGAATGGTCAAGAAGTAGTATGTTTAGTAGATACAGGGGCGGCCGTGTCGTTAATAGACAAGAACTTATGTAAGAGTGTTAGTCTGTGTTCATTGACAGTACAAACAGTAGGCGGGCATGTGTTGCGTATCACGGGTAGATCGAACTGTACGGTCGTTGTTGGCGTCTGCGAGGTGGCGTTTCCTTTCATTGCTGTACCCGAACTACAGAGAACGATATTAGGAGCGGATTTTCTGCGGGAGACTGGTGCGATAATCGACACGCAAGCGAACGTTGTGATCACGAAAGACGGGTAAATCAGCGTGTATGATACCAGCGAGATAGCAGCGGTTAAGCTGTCAACGGTACACAATATGACAGAGTTAATTAATAAATACGATCATCTGTTCACTGGAGATGGCGACCCATACGGTTATTGCGATAAGGTGAATCATGAAATTCCGTCAAGTGATCCGAAAGTAAGGCCATTTACAAAGCGAAGAGTTCCACTTCATTTGGAAGACGAAGTTGAGCGACAAGTGCGAGAGATGTTAAAAGGTGATATTATTGAAGAAGCTGATAGCCCGTACAACTCTCCAGTGCTGCTAGTAAAAAAAGCGAATGGGAAGTATAGATTCTGTGTTGATCTTTGACAGTTAAACAGTATGACAGAGTTAAGACCGTGTGCCATGCCAACAGTGGTAGAAACTTTAGATCGCCTACGAGGTGCGAATGTGTTTTCGGTTCTCGATCTTCGCTCAGGATACTGGCAGATACCGATAAAACCATGTGATAGAGATAAGACGGCTTTCATCGTGGGTCAGACACAATATCGATTTAAACGCATGCCGTTTGGACTAGCAGGTGCACCGTTTACGTTCAGACGACTGATGACGCTATTACTTAAGAACTTGAAAAACGTGGAGGTGTATGGTGATGATCTCGTCATATACAGTCA